TCGGAAAGGTGTGGGACATGGTGTGTGCTTCTTGGTTCATATTTCCTTGGGTTTTTTCTCCTTTTGTGGAGAGCTTTTGCTAGAGATATGGATTTGAACTGCTTAGATACTGCAGTTCTGGCAGTTTCATTTGTACTTTTGGCAGAGTACTGCACCAGCCTTAAAAAATTGGCAATGATCTGTAGTTTCCAAAATAATTTTCTTGCTTATAAACTGGCTGTGAGAGTGAGATTATGGGAAGTGCTGCTACTTCCCATAATCTGTCCTTGTGCCATTCCCAGTCAAAAGCTGCTGAGAACAATCCAACATGCCACAGAGGGGCAGGAGAAAGCTATTGATTCTCAGAAACATGTTGGCAAAATTAGACAAATGTTGTGATAACCTAGCTTTTTTCCAAAGTTTTTCTCACAAGAAAGGTGAGCTTAAAGCTGAGCTTGGCACGTGATTCTCTGACCAAAGACTTTCACATAAGGTACAGAGGTGCATGCCATAATCCATCCCTGCAGTTGTCATTTTCTCTTGATTCTAGAGTTAGTTTTACTGTGCTGTCTACATTTAAACAAAAAATCCTGCAGATTGTAATTCACATCTAAGAAGCAATGTGATCTGTGACTTCTTGGAGAAACGAAACCATAGGTTCAGTAATATCTCACTCAAACTTGAGTATAAACACATGCTTTTAATTATAAAGTTGTTGCTGTTTTTCATATATAAAATATTTGAGAGTAAACAGTACTGATTTTGTCCTAGTGGGAATAACTAAAGCTGAATGCAGACTCGTGCCAAGCTTCACTAGGGAGAATTGTTGTAATTTTCTGCACGCCACTGAAATAGATGGTGATGTTGGTGGAAGTCATTTAGACCTTTAGTTAGCATTTATTTAAACTCCTCTGTCCTGTGTGTGTGAAAAAAACACGGGGGAAAAAAATGACAGAAGGCTTACATTAAATTTTTATTTTTCTCTGGTCTTACTATAAGAGGACACACTTAAAGGACATTGGGTTTTATTTTTCAGAGAAATATATTAATTTCATATATTTGGGGGCTTTATATGAACTTTTTAAATGAACATGTGTGTTTTGAGACAACTGTTATACCATCTTTTGCTGTGGATATGTTGAATTTTCCTTGTGTTTTACAGACCGGGATGAAGAGGAAATGAACAAACGGGAGGACAGAAGAGAGGGAAACAGGCATTGTAAAGAGAGGTCATCTAAAGATAAAGTAATTAACACCTTTCTTAACAACTACATATAACCTTCTTAGAGGTGTCCTAATTAGAGTTTCACTTTATTTTTATTATAAAACCTATTTGCAATGCTTGATTCCTTCAGCACTTCAGGACTGAAACATTAAAGTATGTAGAAATTAGAGGGAACCCCTCAGCTTTTTGGGTAAGGTGCTTACAACCTACTTTGACTTAAATTTTGAAATCCATTGGGTGAAAGCTGTTGGGAAAAACTTTATTACATGAGATAATGATCTGTGTGAAAGAATACACGAGGACTAATGCTGTATGTGCCCATAAGAGGCAGCAGATATGATTCTTTTATCCATTATTTTCAACTGCTGTGTCCTTCTGTAAGGAAAGCAGAAGCTTAACTTGATAGATAAACTGGCATTTCAGTTGTGAAGCTTGGAATTATTGTGATGTTTTACATCTCCATACAGGAAAAGGGATGTGTTTTGTGTGAGGAGGTCAATAGCTTACCTTCTCCCTTCAGATAAAGGAACAGCATAAGTTTAATTTGTTAGACTTCAACTTTATATATAAATTCAAGAATAAAACAAGTTTCCGATTCTCTTTTTTCTTGGAAAAAAAAGTAGGAGATGTAGGAATAGGAATAATGGGAAGACACAGATTGCAGAAGTCCTGTAGCTGTAAGAGCTAGATGCTTGTTCATTACGTGTTGAGGGATATTTAACTTTGAAAACAGCTATTCAGTAAAACCTCACTGGGAGGAGAAGGGATGTTGAATTAGGTTAATTACTGAGTTGTTTTTTTGTATGAGCATGAAGAAAAGTTTGTCTGCCAGAGGTTACTGTCCCTTGTTTGTGCTGTCTTACAGATTTGAAAGATTTCTTGTCCTAAATTGCTTGCTTATGGTATATTTGAGCTCAGTCAGTAAATGCCAGTTATATTTGTGAGAGTTGTGATAAAATGAACAGATGAAAACTTGTATTTAGTAGATCATGGAAAAATGTTATTTTAACTTCCTAATGATCCCATAATGGATTTTCTGTAGGAGAAAGACAAGACGCAGATGGTGACTGTTAATAGGGATCTTCTGATGGCTTTTGTTTATTTTGATCAAAGTCATTGTGGATATCTTCTGGAGAAGGACATGGAGGAGATACTGTACACTCTTGGACTACACCTGTCACGTGCTCAGGTCTTGTATAGTAAAAGAAATCTCTTTTTGGGGGGAAGTATAGTTTAGCATCTGAAGGGTGTTGCTGATATACTTGATTCCTGGTTTTTTTGTAACCACCTCATATTTACAATTAAATACTGGTTTACTCTTTTGTAAGTTGTCTTGGAATGAAAAGGTGAAGTTTGTAGCTCTTTTAATATGCCCATATTGTATATGTAGTTTTTGTCTCAATATTGTATCTTGGGGTTTTTTCTAGCTTGTTTTAATTTTAGGCCCCAGTATATTTAAGTTCAAAAAGCTCTGCAGTTTCTCTTGAGTTTTACAATTAAAACGTCCTTGTTCAGGGAATGTAATGTCTTCTGTATTAGGTAACACTGTATTTCTTTCCATGGCTCTGTTTTAGGTCAAGAAGCTTCTTAATAAAGTAGTGCTTAGAGAATCGTGCTTTTATAGAAGACTAACAGATACTTCTAAAGATGAAGAAAATCAAGAGGAATCAGAAGAGCTGCAGGAAGATATGTTAGGTGGTATTATTCTTCTTATGGCACAAACATCCAGATAATTGTGTGCAAATGATAATGAGAGTTCTGAGATGCTTGCTTTCCTGCAGAAACTAATTCAGGCCTGCAGGAAACCTGCCAGTTTGGAAAAATGAATCTTGAGTAGTTAATAAATTACAGTATTTCTGGCTTCCAGCACGTTGTATTCCTTCTATAGGATAAATCTTAGTATCTTGGAACAGGAAGGAGGACAGAGATTAATGCTGAATATTGATGAACATAATTTTTCATTCACAGCAATTTTGCAGTCAGGAGGATTAGTGGTGTAGGTAGTAGAACAGAGCCTGATTTTTGAAGACAAACTACTGCAGAGAGGAGACATTATTTCAAGAGCATGCTCCTTTTTAAATGGGGGAATTGGGGTGGTAAGAAAGGAGGACAGAAATGACAGACCAGCAAACTTGAATCTATATTTATTCTTGTAGGAATTTATTCTTTAAGGAAGTTTCTGAGGTTGATTACTAGAACTGAAAAACAACAGAATTATTGTTTCCTAATGCTGCTTATCTAATACAGGAAACAGATTACTGTTACCATCACCTAGTATAAAGCAAGAATCAAAAGCTGTAGAAGAAAATGTTGGCCTCATTGTGTACAATGGAGCTATGGTGGATGTTGGGAGCCTTCTACAGAAGCTGGAGAAGAGTGAAAGAGTGCGGGCAGAGATAGAACAAAAGCTTCAGTTACTGGAAGAAAAAACAGGTGGGACATTACTTTGAGTAAATTACTTTGAGTACATGGATGCAAGATGCTAGGATCTGAGTAATATTTGTGATCTATGGTAAACAAATAGATATGAAATTTAAACTTCTGTTTCCTATTTCCCAAGCCCTTTGAACTTGCACACCAGCTATTGTTGAGTACCACTGTCACCAGACTGAAATGCTTTTATCTTGTTTATTCACGTTGCATGTGAGACTTTCAAATGTTGTCAGAATTTAGTATTATCTAATGGTAATGCAATGCAATTGTTAATGTTCTTTAAAAATCAATAAAATCGTGTGTTGGCATGTAAAGGGAATATCAAAGTACACAGCATTGGAATTGACTGCTTTGGTTTTTTTCCCTAAGATGAGGATGAAAAGACCATACTGCAATTGGAGAATTCTAACAAAAGTCTGTCCATGGAGCTCAAAGACGTGAAAAAGGACCTTGGCCAACTGCAGGAAAATTTGAAGATCTCAGATGATAAGAATTTGCAATTTGAGGGTCAGCTGAATAAGACAATCAAAAATTTAGCTACAGTTATGGATGAAATACAGAGTGTTCTTAAACAGGTTAGAATTGTTTCATTCCATTTTTGATCGTGGTATGCAGACCCAATTATTAGAACAAAAAGTTCAGAATAAAAAATTTTCACTTGAATGCAGGGCAGTAGTACCTTAATATATAGAAGATGCTCAGTGTGATAGTATTTATTTAAAGCTACCAAATACAATATATTTTTTTCTAAGTTTGAAACATGTTCCTGACTTAAATCTTTTTTAAAATGTATAAAAGTTAATGTAAATCTCAAACCTTCCTTATGTTTTTCTGTCATGATCTTGTCCATTCCCAACAGTCCAAACCTCTTCTGTTTTATCAGTTAGGAGTAATTTTTCAAGGCAGAACTTCCAATATTTCAGATTATCTAACTTTCTCATTCAGTAAAATGAGATTTAAGCAAAATAGGTAATACTCCAGAGTATTTCTATCCCTGTACAGAGAGAGAATTTCAGGAGGCTGAATAGAGGTAGGTTATGAAGGCTACTTAGTGTCAGGCTTAGAAGGAAGGTGCCTTCATAGTACTACTTCTGCCTACATTTAGTACGAACAGATGATACAGCATCTACAAAAGCTCTGAGAACCACGCACAAAAAAAACCCTAGAAAACTTGGCAAATGTTAGAACTTCCTTTGCCATCTGTCATCAGTCCTGTGCTACACCACATGCTGTAGATGTGCTGCCTCCACCAGGACCAGCCCTGAAGGCACTACATAACCACCTTCTGCTGTGCTCTTAGCTTAGTTAAATACTAACTAGCCTTGCTCATTCTGTCTGATATTTTGGAGATTAAATGTCTTCTAAGCCTAGTGTTTTCAGACAGCTTTGACCAATATAAGTATTTTAGGCTAGAACTGTTAAAGTATGGATTTTGCAAAAACTGTTTTCACATGCTCTTAAAAACACCAATTCAAACCAAAACACAACAGAGACAAAAACAAACCTCAAAAAATCCCACTGCCAACAGGAAAAATAAACCAGCCCAACAACCCCCAAAGCTTAAGACTATGAAGTGAGGCTTCTGGGGATATTACTTGTGCTTCTCTTCAGAAGTGCTTAGATTACATTTAACATCTGCCCCCTCTACTTTTCAGGAAGATACAGGAGAAGTTGAATTAGTTTTAAGATTTGAGTAAGATCTCAGTTCACATTAATATTTAGAGTTGACATCAAACAGTATCTTTGTCTCGTGCTGCTTTACAGTTCACATGAGAAGAATCAGTTCCAGAGCTCATTACATTCTCTTCTTTTTTCTTTTACAGGAGATAGTGAAGAATGAAGATAAAGATCAGAAATCCAAAGAAAATGGAGCAAACGTATGATAAAACTGCTGCTGTTTAGAAGAACGGTGTTACATAATGTAATATAAATCATGATACCAGAATGTATGGGAAGTGATGCATGTTTGATTTTAGTAGTATAAATATCTTAGTTCTGAAAGATGTATAAAGTTTTATGAACGTGAGTGTCAGCTTCTGAAGATTGCTTGTAATTCTTAGCATTCAATTTGAGACACTCCTCAAGTGAAAATAATTTTGCATTGCAAAATGTTTTAGGATGAACTTTGTTATAGTTTTAACCCTAATAAAGTTCATCAACATAATGAACAGTAGCAAGTATTTAATTACCAAATGTTTTTCATTAAAGTCTAGTGAAATCAAAATTTTCATTATTTATAGAGTTACCATTTTTAGGTTTTTTTTTTTTATTTCGGTCTAATTAGTCTTTTTTAATTCAAATATCACAAAATAGCATGCTGCTTAATTTTGCAAGTAAAGAATTTTTTTTTTTAAAAAAGCTTCTTGGATTTTTTTTTTACTTGACACATCTTTGTTTTCCCTTCCAAATGTAACTTTTTTTTTTCCTGAAATCTGCTTGTATTAAAGCTTCATAATATACAGTAGTTCAGATGAGTTAAGAAAGCAATAGAAATCTACCAAAATACTGGTAGGGTTGTGAGATTTATATGAAAATACATGGGCTTGTTTTAAATGTATATCATTTGTGTTCCTTTAACTGTTCTTATATTTGGATTAATATATATGCTCCTTTTTAATAGTAAATGCAGTGTATTCAAATGTATGGTTGGATACCAGGCCAGTAGGTGTCAGAATACTGCCTTACATGGAGGAAAAGCTACCATTATAAGCCACCATTAATTAAATTCAGACTTCTTCCTTAATATGTATAATTACTTAAAAGACTTTAGTCCAACAAAAGGATACACAAGTATCAATACTCCATGTTATAATTATTAAGGAGCAGAACACCATTTGGTTTGTTTCAAGTGGGTAAGGTTGCCTTCCTTTGTGTTCCTAAATCACTAGAGATCTAAAAAGTTAATGTGACATCATTGTCAAAGGCAACTTATTAAGATGATGTGAAATATGAAAAATTGTATTTTTGTTCAACTTCCAGGAAAATTAAGGGCTTTGAAGGTTGGGACAGGAGTGTTTTCTTACAGAAATGGTTAATTTTAGCAGACCTTTTATTCTTTAGCCTAGATGACCTAGGTAACTAAATACCTGTTAGGAGAGTCCAAGTGCCATAACAGATACAAATAAGCTACATGGAAACTCATGAAGCTTTACTGAGATACACATTAAAATGCCTGAATTTATGTTCAAAAAAGTCTAAGCTGGTGCTTTTATCACTTACCTTTCTTGGCTCTTTTGGAGCTATACCAGTAAAATATCTTTTTGATAAAATAACATGCCTAAACTTACCCCTCATTCATCTCAGTGGAGTTACTGTATAATATCTGTACTGTTCACACTAAAGTAGGAAGTACTCTATAAACACTAATTACTGCATAGGAAATGCATGCTTTATGAGACAAGAGATGATATCTCAGAATGATTGAATGGGGATGGTGATAAATTTATCTTCTGAAAAGCGTTACCTGTGGTGTACAGATGGTGTTAACAAATTCTTTTGTAACCAAATTATATTTTTCACCTTTACCTTTGTACAAATTGTTGACAGCATGTTTCGTTTTTGACGTCGAACACCATTTATTTGTTCAAGAATTTCAGCAGTATATGTGAACATACAAGAAAATAATTCTAGAATTCAAGATAACATCCATCACCTTAGGCACACTGAAACATAAGTTGAAATATTTTGGAGTTTTTTTTACTTTAAACTGTTGACCTGGAAGAAGTTGTCACAACAAGCAGGTCTCACTCACCTTGTGTTTCAGTGAGTGGCCCTGTGAAATAGTTGCTAGAGTGATGCAGGTTTTTGCAGTATTTAAGAAAAAGCAAAAGTATTTGTTAGAATGAGTGTAATCTCTCTCTATATTGCTTTGATGTAGTAGTGTTTCAGACACTTATGTATGGTCTGCATTTATTTTTGCAAGGAATTTAAAAGGGTAAAGAATAAAGGAAAAAAACAACAAGGAAGAGTTTTGCAACTGACAGAGCTTGACCAGTCTTCTGAAGCCCGACTAATCTGAGGAAGAACAGACAACTCTACAGCCTGTTCAAGTTGCTTTACCAAATAAGCACAAGGTTCTGTATATACACAGCATCAATGCTGGCCATTAACTAAAGCTTCTTGGTAATATTCCCAGAAATATAACTAATTCTTAAGAAATTTAATAGAGTGTTAGTAATGGAGGTTTGGAGAAGCAATCTTCTGTCAGTTTTACTTCATTAACAATCTTTTTGTGTTTCATGTCCATACTTCCCACCTCATGGACTTTGCACTTCTAAGTGTCTCGCTATATAGCAGTTGCTGGTGAAAGGCTGGTAACTGAGCCAAAGCTGGATCTTGCTCTGATGCCTCAACATCCAGTTTGTAGTTTAAAATCTGCATGGATGCTCTATAGAAAGTACTGAATCTCAAGGCCACCTTATTCTGGAAAGAAAGCACTGCTGCAGCAGCCTGGTATATGGAATCTGATCTTGGTTTATAGACTATTTCACTCCCCTTTAATATTTTGCCTAGTATGGAGGAATGAATGAGTTAAACTTTTACTAAGTGATATTCAGACTAGTGGATGTCTGTGAAATGGGACTAGGAAGAAAGTTCCAAGTGAGACATGTGTATGCAAAATGTTTTAGGGCAAAGTAGACTCTCCTGAGGCCCCTTTGCTTTTTTCTGGTAATGAAAAGGCAGCAATGCTTCATTTCTGCGCTACATAACAGCGGTGGCAAATAGACCAATAGTGATTTTTTGCCAAAGTTTTCTGAAAAGCTGAGGATTGCTTGCAGGATAATGGAGCTGCTTCCAGCAACACTGTGTGTTCTACCATGATGAAGACTTTTTTTTTACTCATCCCAGTGCTTGGTGCTTGTACCTGTAGCCCTGGGCACTGCTGCAGAATCACTTCCCAGTTGTTTGGTTTATCCAGTGTCATCTGGCTCAGCCTGAGGTGCCCTGAAATGTACAGTGGAGAAGTTGGAATTCTCCGTGTGGTTGCCTGTGGATTTCCACAGTTGAGCATTTACAACGGAGTTGTTTCTGAATCTAATATTATAAAGCCCAGATATTTAACAACATTTTTTCAATGTTTAACTGTGTTGAGAGAGATTAATGGCTTTCAGTCCATCTTTCTGCTGAGTTATGTACTGTGTGAGCACCTGTTTGGACTTATGTAACACAGCTAAGTTTCATTGAAAATTTTATCAGGAATGTGCATAAAATGTGGGGTTTTTTCCTCTTGTTTATCTGTAATATTTGTGTACCCAGGTCAGGTTCTTAATGCATTTGTTCAGTGCAGTTTATATTTAAAAAATATAAAATATAAAATCATTCATTTTGAGTGGCTGAGTCTTATGGACAGCTATAGATTGCAAAATGTGTAGGTAGCCCAGTCAGTACTGTTTAGGCTAATATTTTCTGGAAAGCAGAAATGGTTCTAGTAGAATTCCAGCTGGGAGTTGTCCATTGCCATGTAGTGTGACAATAAAAGTGGCATAAATAATACCTTTATTCAGTTATCGAAACTGCCAGAATTTTCCCACCAGACTTTTACATTTCTGCATACTGGTCTCATTAGATGTATTGCACAAAAGTAGTTACAGCAAAAAGCTGTAATAACAAAATGCATCACTTGCAAGCAAAACGGTAATGTTATTTTTTTATTCATTATTTATATAATCCCTGGTATTATGATACAGAGTATACATTTGGAGTTTTGGAACACACCAAATATTGCCTGAAGTCATATGCTTTGTTGTGTTCTAGCTGTGGTCAGGAACATTGCTTTTCAATTTCTGGGTATCTGAGACCTGGATTTCTATTGAAAGCACATGACCTTGCAGTTGTATGCTGCTTTTCATCTGCTGGTTTGTCAATTGATCTCTTTAATGAGTGGATTCTAACCTGTTTGTGGATTCAGGTCAAGCACCCTACAGTACATGTAAGAACCAGTGTATTTTCTGTATATTGCAAGCTGTTGTATCTAGTTCAGTTCTCTTACTCTTCTCTCTGAAATTACAGCAGGATAGTGGTGCTGATATTTGTTTGTTGCATGCTGCAATTTGAGTATTATTTTTCTGGTGCAGGTTTATGACATTAAACTACTGGTGTTTTTCTCTAGTTCCTGCAGTACTTCACTTACACTCAGACCATTTCCAGAGCATGTTAAGGCCACAGGTGCATGTTGAGATACTTGGTTGATTGAAATTGTTGAAATTGGTCAGTCATGTCCTTCTGTTTAGAGCTAACAGTCTTCCTTGCCACATCTGCCCCAGGATGAGCAAGCAGCTTGCATTGCTAGCTTTTATTCTTGCTTTATAACTTGGTCCACAGTGTCAAGGCATGTTCATGTGAACTTCCCATAGGTAAGCAGTGTCCCAGTGTGGTGAGGTCTGACCACTTCATTTCTTTTTGGGAAGCAAATTACGTTGTCCATTTGGTGCCTATGAATATCCCTTCTCTGGTACACTCTTGAATCTTCCCCCTTAGCAGATACTGTATCCTTTTGGAAAAGGTAGGTAATGATAGTCCTGTGAGAGGGCTCAGAATATTCAGAGAAAGTACCTGAGCTGGATTTCAGCACAGATTCCAAAAAGCCATGTATTTCGATTGAATTTGATTCCTAGATTATTTTCCATCACTCTAGTGAGGGGCATAAGTGAACGGATCCTGTTGACTGAATCGTTGGTATTTCATCTAAAAGAGCTGTGTAGAAGGGAAGAGAGGAGGAACGCTGCAGAGGATCTGAGCCTTTACTCTCCCCACTCTGCTTTTCAGCAAATATTTTTATAGACTACTAATGTACTTTTTTATTATTTGCTTGCAGACTTTTTAGTGGTATACAGAAGGATTTGTTTGAGTGTCAGTTGTTTGAGGTTTTTTTCCCTGTATTGCTTAATTCTTTTTTGGTCTTCTTGACACAGGATCATCCAACTACATTCCTGTTTTGTCATGCAAATTTATTTTTTGGTCACTTTTTCAAAAGGCTGTATGGTAGCCAGCAGATCTGCATATAAAAATGCACATGTCATATGGGGTAGAACTGAACAGCTAGAGATAAAAGTACCTTGCAATACTGGTCTCTAAAAACACTTGTCTCATAGACCAACTGATGTACTGTAAAACAGTCCATTGCATTTGCTTTTTGGGGAAAAGGTAAGGGAGAAGTAGGCAATTTTATCTGTAAAGAAAATGGACATGCACATTGGGGAGATGGTTTGTTAGACTTCCAGCTTAGCTCTAATCAGAAATGAGAGAATTTTGGAAATTACCTTAAACACCTGAAAAGACTCCTGTGTTTCACCAGGGTTAGTTTAAGTCTCCCATAAGAGACTCCTTTTCAGCTTGTCTGCTGATGCCTTGTTTTATCAAAGTACTATTCAAACAAATTAAGTACTTCTAGTAAGTACATTACATCAAATATAACTATTAGAATATTCACGTTACAAGCTGTAAAATCTTGGGGAAGGTTT